TGGCGTTCACTATCATATGACATCATAAAAAAAAGTCGCACTCGGTTAGGTTTGGTGAACCTGGAGGCCATGCAATAGATGCGCCCTTACCAAACACTCTTTCGAGATTGTTTCGTTGAGATGTTCCTTTACGGCTTACGAGTAATGTGGTGGACCTCCGTCGTGTTGTTACCACATGTTTTGTCCGGCATACAGGGGTACAGTTTCTAACAGTTCGGGAAGGGTTTCCTGCAGTCAATATTTCACGCATGCATTGAGGCAGGTGGTCGTAATTTTGAGCATCTTTTGATGTGAATAATGCTAATAAAAATTGCAAGCCTTCCTTGGGTTAGTTTTTTAATAGCACAGTTTCTGATTCAAACACGTTTCTCCGTGAGCAAGGTGGCTACCACAGCTCGGACTGTAATGTACTATTATCACCTAACCGAAACGCATGCGTCTATGGGTTTATAAGTAAAAAAGGTTTATTTTGGCGAGATCTATCATCCCTTAATTTTTGGCACAATAGTTTCGGAGCACCCCGTATAAATATTTTAATAACAGTCAGTTTTTGCTTTCGAGACTCGAAATTTCGAGAATCTCGAATCGAAATCGAGAAATCGTCTTCAAGAAAAACATCAACACGAGAGTTTGTTGATTTCTCGTGGTCGAGACGAGGAGAGAAATTGCTTTCGAGACGAGATTTTTCGGGTGCCACGCCCAAAAACGTTAATTTTGCATCAAAAAATAATAATTTGGCTTGTTATGGAGAAACGGGGCAGATTCGAGTAAGAGTGGCCAACGGGCCACTGCGTCTTAGAAAGGGCCAGATCTGGCCATATGCCACCTGTGGCAACACTCATTACAAAGCTGGTATACTGCCAAGTAAACAAATATTTGTGTACTTGCCAAGTAAACAAGTGGTCTGAGCCCGGCTTGTCTTCCCGTATCGATGGTCTCAATGGAAACACTTGACATAATATCCTCCATCATGAACATATTACCGCCATGATAAGATGTATAGATCAACATGAAGGAAAAAGTATCCAAAAACATAAAAAGTACTTTTCAAAAATTTCGTATTGTAAATACCATTAGCCGTTGACTTGTTTTCAAGTTTCATTACACTAACTTAAAGTTGCTCAATGCCAATAGTGTTAAAACTTGTTAGACTATTATTTACTTGATACCTATATAGTTCTTGAAATCTCGGTGCCACCTTCGGTTGGCGAAAAAAACTATCAACATTTTCCTGAATAGCTCTAGTATCCCCTGAAACTCAATATAGCATATGAATAAACATTTTTGTTTTTGCTGCCTACAACTTCTTTTAAAGTTCCCACATTTTTTTGCTGTCCTCCTTGCATTGATCGATAGTTATTTCATAATATTTTTTCTTCTCTTATAACACCAGCGTTAACGTGCCTTTTTTTCTTCATCTAGAAATTTCAGTCTTTATATAATTTGGATATTTTGAACCGAGGTTTGAACTTTAAATCCACGACGGTGATTATGACACAGTTAGCATCCTCGTTTAGATGTCATTACTCAAACAGCATTTTTAGTTTTTGGTACGACCCGGCGACTATTGTTGGGAATTGTAAAGTTGTGGCTACTAGTGACGGCAACGTTATGGCTACTATCTCATTATCTGCCTACGACCAAATTGGAAACATTTTGAAGGTGATAGTTACGTAGAAACTACTACCCCGGAACTTATATTGCTACGTCGTACTTACGTTCTAACTACATGAGGGGGACGTAGCGACGTAGTCGCTGCTACTTTATAAGATTTGTGCCCGCCTACTTTACTCAGGCGTTTTCGTCTTTTCTTTGTCTTACATATATTTGGCAAGAGTTTGTAAGTAGAATATTTCTTGTAGATATTGCAAACCATGTAGTGGCGATAACAAAAAAACAATATCAAAGGTTCCGAAGCCACGATAAAGTTCCGATTGTCACTATGTCACTATGTTGTTCCAATTGGAACATTAACCTTTATCTAATATAAGTGCAGTCTCGAACGAACTAATAATTGATTGCCGATTGCCGACAAACGGATATAGATATTTTCGTCCATATAAAGTGACCGTTACTTTAAAGTGTTTTTTTTTAAGTAGTTGGAACTTTGCTGTGATTTTAAACAGAGTGAGAAGTGGGAAGTAGACAATTTCAATGATGCTGTCTTGATATCTGAAGGGAAACTTTCGGGCAGAATCTAAATATTCTTTTCCACTAAAAACTAAACCTATGGCACAAAAATGCACTCCAATAACGTTTCGGTTACACGCGTTTCATTGTGGTGTTTATATCGAACTAGTATCATTAACAACTATTTATGATGGGCTTCATCTTTGTCTCTCCGCGCTTGGATCACTTTTTATTCCAGAGTTGATTAGAGTTATTTTTTTCTAGAGCTACTACCCTATTTACAGCTTATGTAATATTTTCCATAAATATAAATATAAATTTATGCTATAGAATTCAGCTACTACAGTTTCATATTTTCCTAATCGAATTTGCGTTTGTATCTGATTTAATTTTTTTTTCACCTCATTTTCCGCCTCGAATAAACAGATTATACCTACCTAATTCGATTGTCTAAAAAATCGAATCTTCAAATCTCCCAAAATCACATTTTGATGAGTTGTTAATGTATGTATATCATCTTCTTCACATTAAGAGATCTATAAAGAGCTCCAACAATTATATGTCAGTATAGGAAATGTGATCACAATAAAATAAATAACGGCTTGGAGATAATGGTTATTTATGTCATTAGGCCAAGAAGTAGCGGGGGCCTACAATCGAGCGAAGCACAGAAAGACCTTTGGGGGCGGCTGCCATAGAAAATTTCATCTTCAAGCGATTTCCTTTCACATTCACAACTAAACGACTGCATTTTTTATCCATTTTCGTAAAAATAAAAGGCTGCCACTATAATTCAAGAAGTTTGTCAAATTTGTGTTTTATTTTATGTCAAATCAATAATAGCGGCCCCTCGGAACACATTTCACCACTCGTGTAGACGAGCAGACACATAAGCTTCATTATCCGTATTTATTTATGCGTGTACTTCATTTATACAATAATTTAATCCATATACATACCTACTTCACCTTGTCGAGGGTCACCTACTACATACTTGATGGCGACTTATTCAACCTAAACAGATTACAGCTAGTTCCAGCCGCTCAAGCACTGCTACCTTTCCAGATCTTTTGTGCATGTCTCGGCTTCCAGTTGGTGTCCAAGATTTGCAGGCTTTTCCCAAAGGAGGCCAGCTTTCAGGGTGGTAAGGTTTCCACCTCTTGGGGTGTTAGCCGTACCCCTTCAAGGTATTTCAGCCTCTTGCAGAGAGACAGATTAGATGTTCTGTGGTGTCTGTTGCTTGTTCGCAAAATCTACAGTGGTCGTTGTCTGCTTTGCCTATATTGTTTTTACGACGTAGATAATTGAACTTCAATATGCGGATGATCACGTCGTGATGGTCAATACAGAGAAATACAACCAGGCATACATACAGGAGAATCGGCCTAGAGGTCAACTTTAACAAGACCCGGATTCTATGCACCAACCCGCACCGGATACTAATCCCCCAGCCCCAATTATAATTATAGATGACCATTCTTTGCAGAACGTAGAACACTACTCATACCTTGAGAGCTATCTGTCAGGGAATGCAACCATTGACGCTGAAATCCAACATCGCTTGCAGTGTGCAAGCGCGGCCTCCGGGCGAATTCTAGAGAGAGTCTTCAACAATCACGACATCAGTGTTGAGACCAAGCTTCGCGTTTACAATGCAGTTGTAACACCAACACTTACATATGGCTGCGAAACATGGACCACAGAAGACACATAAAAATCCTAGAAAAATATCACCAGCGATGCCTAAGAAGGATCCTATGGAATAAAAGGCGGACAAACCAACATTGATGTTTTGGAGGAGGCCAAAACAACTAGCATGGAAGCCCCCATCATTAACCACCAACCTTGCTGGACAGGTCATCTCATCCGCATGCCCGAAACACGTCTTCTACGACAGATTCTCTACAGTCTACTGAAAGAGGGAGAACGAAATCAAGGAGGTCAATAAAAACGCTACAAAGATGTTCTAAAGGAAAATGTGGCAAAGTGTCGCATCGATACCACCAACTGGGAGACGACGGCAAATGAGAGGCTCTCATGGCGTCGAGTAATTCACCATGGACCGCAAACTTTCGAAGAACAGCGACGCAGACACGAGGCCGAAAAGAGGGACCGCAGGAACGAGCGAGAGCACAGAGGAAGGGTCTGCCAAGAGTGTGCAGCTTCCCAGAATCGGTTTGTATAGTCAACAGAAAACGCACAATCGACGGAGAATAGAATAGAAGATATTCATACTTGATTCCGAGTGATCGCCTATGATGATGACACAATAAGTGTGGTTTTGCTTTATAAAAGAATGGAGATACCCGAATTCTCAATCACGGTTAAACACTGTGTGTATTTCCCGAAGATAAACTTCATCGTCTATGTTGATATGATATGAAATTCCACACCTGTCAAGAATTTTCTAATTTTGAAATTTTATTTTTCAGAATTCTAATAGATCATGGACTTGTTCGTTGACGCTGCCAACTAGCGACTTAGCGAGAAGAAAACGCAAAATTAATTACAAGAACTTAATAGCGCTGATTGACACAGCTGCTTCTAGCGATAAAAAAATGAACAAATCACCCCTTACGTAAAAATATTTTGACCTAGGTACCTGGTACCTACCTACATAATGGATCACTTCTGTGTCAAGAGGTGTGTCTTCATTTCATGTCTACCGCTTTTTAGGTTATGTAGTTTTGGGTTACGCACACTGCTAAAAATTAATTCATCCTGTGCTGTTTATTCTTCGTATTCTTCTAACGTCTTAAACAATAGATATGGACTAAAACTCAGTGTACAATGCAGAAGATACAGAGAGTGTCGGTAGTAATGAAAGCACAACTAATATGTTTAAAAATATTTTATTAAATAAAGTATAATTATAAAACGTCTATAAATTCTTGCAATTCCTGATATAAAATCCCGTCAAAGCAATGATATTTTTCCAAAAGCCCAGCCCAAGCCATTGGATAGGGAAATTTCGTCAGATGTTTCAAATCATCACAAGCTTTCCAACGATAGCGTTTCATCCTAGTTCGAAAGGCACTATCCTTTCGGAAAATATCATTGTTTGAGGTTATAATAACAGGAGTTCTAAATATAGGTTGGTCATCTTCATACTTCACTTTCACATTCAACGTGGTTCCAGCGAATAGTGCTTTCAAAGCTTCAAAAACACTCGGCCCAGCAGTCAGCTCATCCCAGAATAATATGCGCTTATTTCTACATTCCATAGTAGGAAAACTATTATAGCGATTAAAATTACTTATTACACCAACACTAATATAATAAGAACACACTGCTTCCATAAAGAAATTCTTACCAGCATTCGGTTCACTAAGGAGAAAAAAAGAATTAGTTTTTGGTAATTTGCGATCGCAAACATTTAACAAATCGTTTAAAAATTGACGTATGGCTTCTAAATTATTATCAAATTGATATAAAAGCATTGCATTCATAATGTTAATAGATTCCTCTAGATTATAATAATATACGGAAATGTTGCTATTAGGGGCATTATACAAAGCGTTCGCGAAAAGCAATTTAATTTCCATAGTAGTCTTCTATGAAAATTGTTTATTGTATTATTTCCATTATTTTCTTAAACCAAAACTTTTGCGGATTCATGAATCAAAATTCGGATTCTAGCCACAAGCGGGAATTAAAAATTCCTTTTATTGGGGAGCTTGCATGTTGGAGAAGCCACCCCAAGAGCCGAGCCTTTTGACTTCCCTCTTAACTTTTAGCTTTCCCAACGCTGCTGCCGCTTCTGCTATTACTTTGTCCACTTGCATCTGTAGAGGATCGACAGGAGACGAAGTTAAGATGCTGCTCCGAATTGTCGCTTTCATCCACCATTGGGCCTTGTCCAAATTCACTACGTCGGCAAAGGGATAAATCTCGAGCTTCACTAAATTGAATCCACACTCTCCCGGAGACTTCACAGTAAACAATTCTTCGCCCATTCTATAACGTAAAAATTAGTATGTTAAGTAATAATTTTTCCAGTTACCTTTTCGAAATAGTTTGTGAGATTTCTCCAGTATTGCTCAGTAAATTCGACACTCCAGGCAAGCTGTCGACGGTACCAACGTCCGTGTCGCAGTGCTCCGAAGCGGCTAGAACGACATCGGCCTTCGCCAAATCGACAATCGTGGATAACGTGGTAGTGGTCTCCCCCGTGGTTGGTAATAATTGTAACTCCGCTGGAATTTTGTTTACCGCCAAGTGCCAAGCATCCTGCAAGTCTTCTACTTGAGTCTCCGTTAGTATCTGCTGGCAGCACGTCGTGAACAAGTCTTGGTTTTTTAAGCACTCGCAAAAGTGCTCGAACGATATTATCTTTTTCGATTTCTTTGCTTTTTCCTCGGACTTCAGTAACTTCGCAGTCACTGTCTGACATAGAGTCCACAGTCTCTGTTCTTTACGGCTTTTTAAATGACGAGCCTCCATAAATTTAAAAGGAGGTGCAACGTTACTGATTCTGTCCAAAGTAGTTCGAGAACGTTTAATACCTCATTGGGATTTTCCAGACTGGTTTCCTCCATTAAAACTTCCTGCGTGCAAGCCGTCATTTTCTTCGTGTGTAGAGTGAGCAAAAACTTCACTACAGAAGAGTGTTTCAAAGATACTGGAATGCTCGTTATATTGATTGTTTCCACTTGGAAAATAGTTGTCACACAAAACAGAATCCTCACTAACTTTTTCAAATTCTTTCACAAACTCACTATCACAATCTACTACAACGTAGGCCTCGTCGTCGCTGTTTTGCATTGTGCGGTAAAAGTTACATCTCCTCAGGTTCTTATAGAATCTGGACGACGGGATGGGCGACAACACAATACCCAATTAATTTTTATTTGCATTTTTATCTGCCTCGTGTCGCTCGTTAAATTCAATGCTTTCATATTTTTAAAAATTCATCAAAATTGCTTTTTTTGTGTGCAGGCTCCTGTACGGAGATTAGGCCAAACATGCTTAATCATATATTAACTGAGCATAGTGAATAGTGATTTTTTTAATAAAAATATGAGTTTGGAACATTAAGTGCCGAAATAAAGAAAATGCCGCTCGCCCAACTTCGACTGCATGTATTTTTGTGAGAATTGATTTACTGACAAAATTTGAGTAACCTATGATTGATGAACGTCTCTACCGACAGTTCGGGCAAGAAGCTACATGCAAGATATTAAATATGTCGTTGGATTGCCATATACAATCGTGAGCATTGAAACTGGGACACCCGACTGACAATTCTTGTAATTTTTCGCTATTTTGGGTAAATCAGTCTTTTCTCTCCAACAGAGATAATTATGAAATTTTGCCAAATATGACAATCCCTAGCATTGCCGTGGGTATGACAGTGGCGGCTCATGGTGTCCAAGTAAGGGTGGGCGACAAAAATGAAAAACAGCCGTAGGCGATTTTTTTATAGATTTCCAAGGTCGCGGCCTTTTCAAATACATATTGTATTAGAAGCATTTTTTATTTTTCCATTCTTTCTCCAGGTTGGCGGTGCCCACCTTGCCCATATGGGAGAACCGCCACTGCATATTGAGTCTCCAGACTGTAAAAAAACACATTCAAACCTGGCGGAAAACCTATAGCAAGTCGATTTAGGCTGATTAATTTTGTAAATGATGTCTGAATGGACTGATTTTAATCGATCTCAACTGGTGAACACTGAGTCTTATCGTGAACCGCATCGATTTGAACAGCCGTTAGTGTACAGCCACACAGAACGCGTTCAAAGCGGCATAAGCGCGCTGGCGATTAAAGTGTTTGGAACGTCTTTTGCGAGTAGAATTAAAATAATATGATATATAGCGAGTGGCCCGACAAGACGCTTTTTGCATTTTGATCTTCTCTCGCTATATATTACATTATTTTAATTCTACTCGCAAAAGACGTTCCAAGTCGCGTTTATGCCGCTTTGAACGCGTTCTATGTGGCCGTACACTTAACGTGGCAACAGCACCCCATGTGCATCCATGCGCACATAGGCTCATTTTCGTGAAATCGCTTTGAAGGTGCAAAAAAAAACAGCACATAGCACATCAGAATTCACTCAAATTTGGTAAAAACTTTCTTTGATCGATTATCTAAAGATTTATGGAGTTATTTTTTCAATTCTTAGCCTGGTTATTTTTATTTTTGGGAAACAATCCATAACAAGGCCTTTTTCAAAAAATAGGCAACCAAAGAAAAAGCGGGCGGCTATTGCCAGTGCCACACCTTAATACCAGAAAAATTTAACCCTTCTTCAGGATCACTGTTTGCATACAGCATAACCTGCACTTAGATCTACCAAAACACTTGAAAAAGTTTTTAAGCAATTTTTATTAAAAATTTTAATGATGAGTGTTATATGTTTCATGTCACGTTCTAGTGCAATATTTATAGTTTTTTCATAGTAAAAAATTCAAATTTTGCCTTCTACATCGCGTCGGCTATAATCACAAACTGACTGTTCCTATTTTTCCGTATTCTTTATTTAATTTACAATTAGCAATATCAACTGTCATTAGATAAATAGGTAGATAAACTATAATGGTAAGTACCTATATAATTTCTTTTGTTAAGAATGTTGCAATATTTTTCATTAAAATTGTTAATCTTGTGACTTGTCTTCTAACCATGGCCTGAAAATTGGTAATGTTGAAGGGTAATGTGTTCCGGCTTTATTTTCATTTTCATCGTCAGCTGACCGTAGCGGATAGGTCGCCATAATTATTGGCAATTGCAATTTTACTTCTTTTTGAAGACCACTTGGTTCTACTATAAACTAAAAAAAATATTAAGGTCATTTAAAAAACAATATCCAAGTATGAAGAGCAACACTTACAAATACATCATAATTAATCCTAATTAAATGGCACCCTCTTAAATTGGTAGGCGGAAGAGGTAGAATATAAAGTTGTTCATTGTTCCACTCGTCTTTTTCTCCTGGACGAATTTTACCCCTTGTCACCACAGCCAATTCTCTTTTTTCTGTTTGCACTACTTTACCTCTTGCCACGTAAGTTATAGTTTCAGTTAATGCAGCCTTTGTACTCTTTATCGTTAAACGACTTCGATTTGAAACACTAGCCGATACCCCTTTTCGTAAAATGTAATTTATTTTCATAAGTATGAACAAAATACAGAGAGTTTTCATTACCTATACTTTCTCCCGGAACATATCCTCCTCTATCCAAGGTAACTTTGCAAACAACAGTTCCAGAGCCCACGCAACTGACTCCAAATTTATGTTCCACTTCGCATCTGAATGTTTCCTGTCCCGAAATGGTCTAAATTAGATAAAGAGAAACATAGAACAGAAAGATTAGCACATGCAAGGAAGAAGGGACCTGTGAACAAGCAGATTTGTGAACCAAATCACCATTTTTTACCAAAAACGCATAATACAAAGCTCTTAAAAAATACCGAGTGAAAAATACTAAACGTGCAAAAAAATGTGATTTATCGCTGGACGAAAAATATATATTTTTTTAATGGAATGCCCATGAATAAGGAAGGTATTTTTATTGCATAAAATACTACTAGGTATCCATATCCCAGGAGTGCAATGGTGCAATGTGCAAGTGAATAGATACAAATAGGCATAAAAAATATATATATAGACACACGTATGTATTCTTACCAAGACCTACCCCTAAAACTGCAGGTTCTAAATTTAAGTCTATAGGATTCATAACTATAAACACTTGCTGGTTCTTATGGGTGAGACCGTTTGGTTCCCTGAGGGCTGTTTTACAATAATACTGTACCCAGCCATGTTTTCCTAAAAACGTAGATGGTAGACCTAAGGGAAGTCCTAATTTGAATGGAAAACTATGAATTCCTGGAGAAAGTATTGATGGTCCTTGTCCTGAAAAAAATTTCAATTTAAATCTTGCTTGGGGTTATTTTATGATGGTTCAACTTATTACCAGGTTCACCAAGCAATCTCATTCGAAAATCTATATAATTTTCTTTATCATAGACTCTCTCTTGTCGAGGCGTCCGTACCCTAACTACACCTTCTCCTACGACATGGAAATGTAAACCTGCAAATAAAATGATTGAATTTAGGTATTCATGCAACACTTTGAGGTTTAGTAATATTTCATATTTTGCTAACAGAAATACCAGAAAAATGTTGAAAACATAACCAATTATAGATTTGACTTCTTATCAAAACGTTTCTTGTCTGAAACATGTTTCATGTTTAAAAATAATCGAACAGTTTTTGCCTAAAGATAAATAATAAGCTTAGTGCAAGAAGTGCTGTTCCAAACATTATGATAAGCAAATCTAAGGACAGAAGGTTCTCACGTATATTTTTTTTAAAATGTCTATAAAAAACTATTTTTTTTTCAACATAAGTAGGTATGGGCTAAGTCATTATTGAAACGTACGACTGAAAAGATTATATAGGTTGACCTACACACACCGGCAAAATAAGGGGAACGGACAAAATTTACACTAAGTTTGGCATCAATTTTCTCTTGAACCTCTCGTTTTCGATGAAATTTTCACAGATTGTAGCTAGATTCTTCAGGAATACATCTGACGTATTACCGTTATTAAATGATTCGTCTTTATATCATATACAGAGGGATGGAGTGGATGAGAGTTTTTTGAGTCACCCTGGGGAGTGAACCACAGAAAATTCAGAACAGTTTTCAACACCAAATTGTAGCCTGATCTTTTCCGAACATTTTCATTTATTATTCACTCTGGATATTTTCAATATCATTGAAAATACAGTTTCGAAGAAAAGGTGGATATTGACCTTAATTTTCTCCACGTCAACATACGAATTGGATATGAAAATGTGTCGTTTTCCAAGTTCAAGTTGTGTGTATGACTGTTTACTTCGAGTTAAATATTGCTCGCAGTTTTACCTCTTACCGATCAATTTATTGTGAAAAGAATACTCACATATATACAAGGGGATCAGAAAGACCCTTCCATGATTTCCATTTGATGGAATGTGATTTATCTAAACTAAACTCTTCCTTCACACTTAACCAAGGCTTAGGAGTTCTCCACTTTATCCTTCAACAGACCTCGTCACATTGGTAGGATCTTGACGAATTTAATCTTATTTGAACAGGAAAAATTACGTTTACGAATACAATTTTGTTTCTGTCGTTGGTTATTGTCAAGTCAAAGCCAAGCGAAAGTCAACATTCTTATTTAATTTTAATTGATAAAAATCCAACATGGGTGATATGATTTCTACTGCTGTAGAATTGATTGAAAATGGTAGCTTTTACACTGATGTTGCTGAAATGTTAGGAAAATCAAAATCCACGATCTATCGTAATGTAAGACGTTGGAGGCAAACGGGAGAATATGTAAGAAGAAGTAAACATTCACAAAAACGACTTGAAGTTGGAAAACGACACATTTTCATATCCAATTCGTATGTCGACGTGGAATTGAGGTCAATATCCACCTTTGGTTCGAAACTCTGTTTTTTCAATAATATTGAAAATATCAGAGTGAATAAAAATGAAAATGTTCGGAAAAGATCAGGCTACAATTTGGTTTTCAAAACTGTTCTGAATTTCCAGTGGTTCACTCCACAAGGTGTCTCAGAAAAATCTGAAAATTACTGACTTCCTTTCCATCTCTGTATATGATATAAAGACGAATCATTTAATAACGGTAATACGTCAGATGTATTCCTGAACAATTAAACTACAATCTGTGGAAAATTCATCGAAATAGAGCGGAGGGTTCAAGAGAAAACTGATGTCAAACTTAGTGTAAATTTTGTCCGTTTCCCTAATTTTGCCCTGTGTGTGTATATTTAAAAAAAATTAGATTTTAATTTTCTTAAAATCTCTATTTTTTATTTTTTGTATCCACGTAGGCTTGTTGAAGGGTATTTTGTGAGTTTATGGGATCGCAGATGAGTGATACTATTTTTCCAAACTTAAATATATTTTATTGAAAACAAGAACCCCAAAATTGCGACATAATTAGCACCAATTCAAACCTGAAACTGCATCGACATTGCGGGCTGCTTATACAGGGTGTCCGGATGTTCGACCAACAACGCTTATTGACAGGTGACAGGCCTCGCATTTCCATAAAAATTGAAATAGGAACATGCAGCCTTAAAGGGATTAATTGTCAAGATATAAAAAGTTTCGATAATTTTAAAAAGTTCTATGTGCCGTGAATTAATCTGTATGCGACAGGAATAGAAAAACTATGATTTTGAGATCTTGGTAGGATTTATTCCTCTCTTTTCTTGCCTTCAAACCCCCCGATACAGTTTCGGATCGCTGTGTCGTTCTATTGAGGAATAAATGACAAAAATCGAAAATAAAAGTAAAACTTTGATACCCTGTATCTTGAAAATTAAGCACTTTGAGGCTGCATGTTCTTATTTTTATTTTTATGAAAATTCGACCTCTGTCACCTGTTTAGCGTTGTCGGTGAAATATTCGGATACCCTGTGGCCTGTATAGTATTTCAATCCTAATTGTCTAGACAATTCCTTTCTAGGAATCTCCGATTAACTGTCGATTCGAAATTCGCTAGAATATTCCATCAAGGCTGGATTCGAGGTTGAACAATTACAAAGTTTTCTATGGTAAATACCCGACAGCGAATAACCGAAATGGATCAGGTTGATCAAGTTGGTGAACTTCATGAAAAATATGGATGACAACAGACAAGACGAGTGAGCTCCAAGACAAGAAGAAAAACCAGAAGAGGAAGACCGAATACAGAGAGGGAAACAAGAAAATCAGGACCGGCTTGCAGCACTTCTACCTTCTACAACCTCGAACAATAAGAAGACCGTTAACATAAAGTAAAAATTAAGAAGGTGAAGACCGTAGATAGAAAAACAAACAAGAACAGGACCAACTTGCAGCACTTTTGCAGCGACAAGAAGAACAGGATCACCTGCAGGAAAACTTTAAATTTCAGCGAGATTGTATGCAAACCGTAATTTCTGAGGAACAAACCAGGCCCGAGAACATTCTCAATATGGGCAAGATGATAAATTCAAAGATGCAATGGAAGAAGTGCACGAAAGAAGTGGGTAGTTCATCAGGAAGTTGGAATAATATGTTCGTCAGAAAGTTGGAAATGTTCGTCAGGAAATTGGAAATGTTCCTCAGGAAGTGAAACCCCAAGAATCATATCCTTCACAATGTTAGGAAAGACTGCGGGCAGTTTGACTATTAAAAAAAAAATTATTGGGAATAATATCACCATAACAGTGGACACAGCGCCTCTGAAAAATACCACAATAGCCAAAAAGTTCAATGCGAAGCGACTTTGAAGGAAAGTTATTCTGCGCACAGTGACTGGAGACACCGCAAATGTGCATGGAGAAACAGAGGTCGACCTGAGACTGAGAAATATCAAGATCTGTCCAACCCTGCTGATTGCTGATATAGTATAGGATAAGTTTATTTTGGGTATAGACTTAGTCAGTCAACATGTTTCGACAACCAGCTAAACATCCTGAAATTTGGTATTGGAGAGTTTATGGACTGTCCAAATCTAAATATCCAAAGTCCGTCACCGTAAAAACGACACAAACAAGCAGCAAATTATATGTGTACAGCTAGATAATGATTCTGAGAGCTGCGCTGGACTTGTACAAGCAAACCTAGCTTACAATAAATGCCTCGTCAGGGAAACATCAACAAGGGCAATGTCATAGTCAGCTATGAGCCTGTCAAAAGGATTTCAAAATATTGAGCTGAAGAACATCAAGGAAAGAAAGCAAATAAATTATCCAGCGACGTTCTAAGACAATTCGAAACATGTTGGCAGCATCGTTCTTCTACAGAACTAAAGAAGAATTTGATTTTTAGATGAAGGTTTTCAGATTCAACATTATTTCAATACATATTTTTGTTTCTTGAATTTTTGCTCGATGTTGCATTGATTTCCAGAAAAAAAAAATCTTAAGTTGTCTCTATGAAAGGCATAGATTTTGGATTTATACTTAGTTTTTGGTTATCTTTGGAAAACAATAGAACAATTATATTAGGTAATATAAAAAGGGCTTTTGAAATACCCAATAATAAAGGAACAATTGAAAAAAAAACAGTTTAATCGCCCTTTATATTAAAAACAAAGTATAATAGGACCTTGTATGAAACCCTTTCATAAAAAATGTATCTGTCCCACTTTATTTTTCTGATACTTACGGATATTTGCATGGCTATAACTTAAGGGATATTTAATCTGGGTGTAGAGCTTTGAATGTGACACTCGTAGAAACAAAAGTAACATTCAAAGCTCCACTTAGATTAAATACCTATCCGTTAAGTTAAAGCTGCGCTAATAGCCATTAATCTAAAAGCGCCTAAACTAATGGAATAAACAAAGATTGAATCAATCAGGATCTAAAATACAATACAATTATTCAAATTAATTTATGACGTTATTTTAGATACCTACTCTTATCAACCTAAGAAAATGTATGTCGGACAAAAGTGAGCAAAGTAAAGAAAGTTGTTGGGACAGCTTATGCCTCAAGACATAAAACATTCAATCTCACACATCATGTACCTACCTACCAGAAAAAAGAAAATAAGGTTAAGATGCCACTTCGTGATCTAGCCAAGATTTATAAATCTCCCATAAGCGGCTTATTAGAAAACGATAATTAATTATTAGAATATGCTATGGCTAATTCAATATGCTAGATGAAGAGAGATTTTATTTTGAAATGCTAAGATAAAATATCTTGATATCTAAGTATAGGTACCTACTTACTTATAGGTAGGTACCCATATTTTAAATTTAGTTTATTTTTATTGAAATGTTTTAGAAGCATAATTCCTAAAAACAGACATCAAAAAAGTTATAATATATGAGGCATTTTTAAATAGATATAGCTTATGAATGAATATTAAACAGTTTGTTTTCTTTCTCTCTTTATTCATCCCAAATCATCCCATATCGTCAATGGGAATGAATAATGAAAGCCATTCACCCCTATATACTTTTTTTTTAAATTCATCCTGTATGTAATTAATAATGTGTATGTATATACCTCTACCTATATAGGTACCCATCATTTTGATAATATGAATACATTTTTGTGATATTATTATTCAATCAATAAATTTGTTTTAACTTAATTAATATACCTATGAAAAATAAATGAACTATCCGCCATTTGTGTCTCTATACAATTATTAAAATACCATAAGTTCAATGATGTGCCAATCGAAATACTGAAGGATAATTTATTTATAAACATTACCAAACTTAATATATAATAATTATGCCCATGTAAGTATGTTATGCACCTACCTAGCGCGGGTGTGTCATCCCGAAGTTCAATAAGCACCCTACCAGATAAAAACTGACCCGGGAAGTACAATAATGAAGTATTATCAAATAAAATTAAAAATTTCAACAGTTTTCTCGGCATTTTTTATTTTTTATTTTGGTCGCACTATAAATAAACAACCGTCAGAATTGGGTACGCCATAACCAAACTGGTACTGCTAGAGAAGGCCGCCTAATGCTTACTTAATTCTTGGTGCGAAGGTGAGGGAATTCCAAGGTTGCACAGGTATGTATTCCCCGCAAGTTCTTGCTAACTTAAGTTAATGAATTGTTTGGGTTATGGTATAGTGTGGTCAATTTCGAAACACTGTTGGCTTGTGTAGGAAGGACTCAATAAATAATAATTTAACAAATAGGTACCTACATATAATAATTATAGATTTTTTTGTAATGGACAATTTGAATAATCAATAAATATTGTTGTAAAGAGATGGCAGGGACACAGAATTCATTTATATAAACAAAAAATGAATATTTTCACTTGTGGGTACCATCCCCAAATTGTACATTATTTGATGAGCAGTAATTTTTGTAGGTTTGTTTGAGGCAATTCAAAATTTAGAAAAACTACTTTTGTATACCTATTTTCAAAATATAGGTATAATTATAACAAGTTCAATAAATAATTTTTTAAAATAATAGGTAGGAATACGCTGATGGAAGCACAAAAAATAACAATAAAATACACCCTATGCCAAAATTAACGCCCATGTGTCCCTGGAAACCCTAATGCATATATATTTCGACGATTTTTGAAAATGTGAACTTTCATAAATGGCAATTGGAAAAGGTCCACTTTTGATTTGCAACTCCTTGAATGATACCAACCAAAACCACCGCCTCGAATTTAGAGCTAGAGCTAGAGAAGCTAAATGGGGAAATAGAGGTTAAAATGATACCTTCGAAATGCTGGTATTTATACCCACTAGGTGGTCCTCCGCGGGAAGTCTGATCATGGGAAAACTAGAGTTGGGTATATTATCACAAATATTATTACAAAGAATGCCACAGGGAAATATTTTTTCCCAAATTCAAACCCTCAAATTTTATAATTTATCTTATCTAAGTATCCTGTATTAATAGTAACTGCGTACTGCGTACTTGTTCTTTCAGGTGATTTTAACGCCCGGGTCGGTACAGAGTCAGATCTATGGAAAGGCGATTGGCAAGGAAGCGTCGAAAAAATGAACACGAATGGACTACGCCACTAACCACATCCTCAGAATATGACCTTGTAATAACGAATACATATTTCGACAAAACAATAAATTGAAGACTTTCTGGTCAAAGCACTTCTTCTTTAGGTGCCTTCCCCGTTTCATAGTTTGGCAATCATCATAGCAATTTTTATTTTTGAGTCCGTTCTTCTGAATAACTCAACAGATGCACATTGAAATCTTTCGCTCAGATTTCGCAACCAAGAGTGCCGTCGTCGTCAAACACTTCTTTTGCCTTGGATCTTTCCTTGCATGATGAGCCGAAGTATTTCATACTTTCGACCCCTCATAACGTGACCTAGATATTCAAGCTTCCGTCTCTTTATAGTTATGGGAATTTCTTTATTCATTCTCTTCGGCACTTCTACATTGGTTATTCGTCGGTGATTATGTAATTGTACGTCCTAGAAACCGAAATGATGCATTACGAGAGACGAGAGCTCTAACCAATGCGGATGACTGCTGGACTGACTATCGCCTGGGAGCCAGAACAAACTTGCGCATCCCACCAAAGCGTAGATGTCAAAAAATTCAGTTCAAACGCAAATTTAACATACAACGCCTTCAAGACGATCATATCAGGATAAACTTCCAAACCTCTCCAAGCCAGAAACTTCCGTTTAAGTACCTAAAGAGCATTGAGGAGCACTGAAAAATATTGAAGACCGCAATAACATATGCCTCGAAAGGCAATACGCCCTCTATACATGTGTCTTCATAAATTTAGTGAAAGCATTTGATTCAGTCAACAGAAAAGCTCTCTGCAAGATATTGGCAAAGGTTGGTGTTCGCACAAGTACCATCCAGGTACTCCGCCTGCTGCATGATTATATGGATGCAACCGTCCTAAGCCACGATGGACAAGGAGAGCCTTTTCAAATAACTACAGGCATAAAACAGGGCTGTGTCAGGCATACAGGGGAATCTGCCTAGAGGTCAGCTTCAACAATAAGCAGATTCTGCACCAACCCGCACGGGATACTAATCCCCAAGCCCCAAATATAACTATAAATGACTATTCGTTGCGGAACGTAGAACACTATCCATACCTTGTGTCATCTGTCAGCGAATGCAACCATCATTGACGCTGAAATCCATCCGAGCGCTCAGTGTTTCAAGCGGAACTCATTAATTTTATTAATTTTTGGTTAAATAAGTGAAAATATAATAGATTTATTGGAAATGTGATAATGTAAATAATTAACCTTTGATAAATGTAATAGATTTAAGATTTGCTATATTTGTAATAAACTGGCAACACTGTTAATGATCGCGACTGTAGCGCTACGTCCTGATGAACCCGACCAATGCTGCCAGAGGCTGGGTGTGCCAAGACTGTGGGAGAGTGTGCGGCTCCAGAATTGGTTTATATAGCCATCAGTATAAACGCACAATCGATGGCAAGAAAATAATCTTACTCGTTATCGAGTGATCTGATGATTGATAGTTAGCAAAATATTATAAAAACTGTTATAGCAGGACCTTTCCAAGGCTCTCTTATAGGTTTTATAGTTATTTTAGGGCCTGCAATTTTGACATAAAAACATGAATATGTCGAAAACGCTAAAACTTAGTTATCTATCGGACATGATATACGAATTCTGCCTAGAACTTTGTGTGGAATTCAAAAATGTGTTAAAACACAGAGCATTCAATTTTAAATTAGCGAAAGCTTCGAAGTGGGCGACATCTTTGATTTTCAAATAGCGGTGAACAACAATGCCCATATGTACTTATGTACCGCTATAGGAAAGTTAAATTAATTTCCCTTGTTTGTGTTTTTAGGTTGAAATTTTTAATAGTTGAGTCGGTTTGTTTCCTTCAAGGGTTTGTAAAAAGTGATAAATTGAAATAATGGTTACGTTACAGCAAAATAAACATGTAGTGCTAGCGGTACACATACATAGATATTTAGTAAAAAACGGCAAATTGTGTTTAAAGCATGAATTTTTGCACACTTGGTCTTTAAATCATAACAATCTTCTGGGTGTTGCTGTTAATGACATAATTCATGAACACCCTACTCGCTTTAGAGAGAAAATCCTAGCTCACTTCCCTTGTCTAGAATCATTCAAATCCGGGAGAGAATATGCCCTAAAGATGGGGAGCTCCAACATACTGGCTGCGTTGCCTAAGGAAGACCAGGATAAAGATGCCCTTCATACGCAATATTTTCTCAAGTGAGTTAGAAAATCCGCGCATGAAATAAAGGTCCCATTCGATGGCAGTTTCCCTGAGGGCTGCGAGGAGTCTATTCCTGCTCCTTTACTCGCAGTGGTCAACTCTTTGCTATATGGGTCGCCTGTCCACAATCAATGCAGGGCAACGCCAGCTGCGCTTACAATTTGCCAGCTCATAATATTTAACTACTGTGAAAGTATTAGGGTTGCCACCTTTTAATTTCCGAAAACCCGTACATAATCGATCCAAGGTGGGATACATCAAACATGCGTAAGTAGATCATTCCCTCGACCGTACATACAGGGTGGGGACTTTAACTGGAACTAATTCGCTAGAGCCTTCGGATAAAATATGTGAACAATACGCAAAAACACGTGATTAAGATTTTTTGTCTTAGATTTTTTCACATAATTTTTTTTATACCGGGTGTTCCAAGAACAGCTGTACGGTTATCAACTTTATTTTTTTAAATAGTAACCCCTGTATATTATGACATTTTTGGATTCTGCGGAAAATTCTAGACATATTTTATGTACTATGTCCTATACTTAGCTTCAACTGTTTCGGAAATATTGACAGTTGAAAATTGACTCTTTTGCATCTTTGACGGACTGTAAAACCTAAACGGTTGATTTTACAGCAAAACCGATCATACATTTTGATCTTAGTTTTCCGTAAACTATCATTTTATGCAAACTTTGAAGCCGATCAAAGTTGTAGAAAAGTCAATTTTCAACTGTGAATATTTCCGAAACAGTTGAAGATAGATATATGACATTATACATGAAATATTTCTAGAATTTTCCGCAGAATCCAGAAATCTCATAATATACAAGGGCTATCGTTTAAAAAAATGAAGTTAATAACCGTACCGCTGTTCTTGAAACACCCTGTATAACAAAATTAATGTGATCGATAATCGACGTGTTTTTGCGTTTTGTCCACATATTTTATCCGAAGGCTCTAGCGAATTAGTTCCAGTTAAAGTCCCCACCCGTATGTACAGTCATGAGCATAAAAAGTGCGACACCCGACTGACAGGTCTTGTCATGTTTCGCTATTGTGAGCCCGTTTTACAAAAGGAAAAAACGGGTGTCCCACTTTTTGTGCTCACGACTGTACCTACCTACTTTATTATACTGGTATTTTGAAAAATAAAGGACTGTGTTGAGTTATGGTTGTAGTTTATTGAAATAAAGTTGCCTGCCTACAAAATTTGCTTATGAATTTTTAGAAAAAAGTTAGAAAATGTACCTTTCTTAATTTTAAAGGCCACCCCTCGTAGTTACGGTCTGTAAAACGGTCTATTTAAGAAAAAAAAAAAAAACAGAGACACTTGTAAGTGAACAGGGAGAAACGACATAATACAGAGTTATTTGTTTTATTAGGCAGAAAAACATCATATTTAATGCCGCGGCTGGTGTTCCATAGTCTAAGGCGAAGCTAGGAAATCAGCCAAGGCATTAAATCCGATTTTTTACTGTGTGAAACATTTAATTTTTCTCCGAATTTGTTCCAATTTCACGCATAATCCACTTTCTATATTTATTAATTGCGTGGGCCGCTGATAACGTTTGTTGAATAGGTAGAAACGAATTTTTCTATCTAGGCAGAAAAAGTCCACTTTTTCGTCATTAAACTCGAAATCGGAGACGTTCGTGACACACCCGTCATTGAAGAAGTAGGTATGTTCAGAAATTCGTTAGGTAAATAGGTGTTCGGCAATTGCCTTCAACAATTTTATATTATCATTAATTATTATCAATTATACAGTTATCCAGATATTCCCGGACATTTTCATCATGCGTCCGGACACCGGACAAACCTTTT